TATCTTAAGTTCCTTCTTTTTTTATATATATATATTTTTTTGGGCTTTATTTATACTTGATTATTGTTTAATAGGATTTTTGCTTATGTAGTTACTATTACAATATCCATTATTTAGATTTATTACTTCCTTTGAATTGCGTAGTGTACTTTCCGTGCCAACAAAGTAATAAAAACACCCTAGGAGTTTGATTGTATGTCTTATTCTTATTTCCTTGAGATGCACAATGTTTGTATGGTGTCAATATAATTATCATAAAAGAAGAATGAAGTGGATATACAATTCTATTGTAAGATGCATTACTTCCTAATGAAAATGTGTAAAAAAAAAAAAAAAAAAAGTTACTGTAAATGCTATAATAAAGAAATGCAGATTTTCATTACACTGTGAGGAAGTAAAAAAAACTAAGAAAAAAACCCATTTGTACTTATTTATTTTAACAACAGATTTTTTATAGTTTGGTAAATACCCAGGGCCAGTGCTAAAAATAAAATGCTGTATTGTTGACTTAAAGGGGAATACCTTTTTCTTTTTTTTTAAGTTGGGCCCTTGATTTTACATTATTACATCATGTTCTACTCACCCATATGAGTTTTGTGTCATTTTGAGCCGTTCTGAAGATATCCCGTTAGGTTCTATCCAAGTAACGTCTTCCTATGGGCAACGACTTGAAGGCACAAACTAAACTGTTCCTAATATATTCTTTATGGTACGCCAGCATTCATAACATGTAGGTGAATCACTGTCCCCCAGACATCCGCGGTTATATTTTTTATATTTATATCTTTAAAACAAAGCAGAGTGTGTATGACATCATCCGTGCGCCGGACTGGAGTTGTGACAGGCAGCCCGGGCCACAGGCGGTTAAGCTCTACCCCTTCTATTCATTCTAGCTAATCTGAATAGTTCAATTCCATTTCTAGAGCGAGTGGAGAGCGTGTGGTAGCAGCACTAGACATTTTCCAGGCATGTGAGGAAAACTAGCAGCAGTTCAGCGGACAGGAAGAATGAATGGTAGCCAGCGCGCACGGCTGACGTCATACACACTCCGCTTTGTTTTTAAACCATGCAACATGTAACATGTTACAGTCCCAGAGAGCTGCAGAAGCACAGACCCTGCCCCGATTCTAATTTTTCTCAAAAACCAGCCTAAGTTATAAAAATAGAAATAAATGGCTTAAGCGAAATTTGCTCACTGAGAAAATATAACAGGAATACAGTAAATAAAAAGCATATCACTTGTTAAAAATATGAATAGCTAAAAAATTGAATTGTTAGGTTAAAAGTTTTTTTTTGACAATTGCCATACTGCTCCACTTGTTTCATGCATATAAATTGCTTTATTATAATTATGCAGGGAGTTTTACAGTTTATAT